GTTAGAAGGGAGGGGCACTGAAGTGGTGAGAGGAGGGAAGGGGAAGCAGAAAAGTGGTGTGATATATTTTAATTTGTGTCCTGCAGAATATCTAGCAGACTCTTTTGTGTAACAGGAACCCCGAAGGACCATCTCCCATTTAGGCAAGCTCAGCAGCCATTTCTCTGTGGGTCCTGCATGTCTAGTTAAGCAGTCCAGGCAATAGCAGTTTCTTGCCCAAATTGCTAGCAAACTCTGTAAGGAGCCTCTTCGATGCCCATCTTCCTCTTGAAGTAACTGGTGCTGCCAGGAGCAGACGTGTCTCACTGTCATGAAAAGTCTTAAGTTCTTAAACATTTTAAATGTCATATTCTGAAGGTCTCTGAAAGATTTGAAGAAGATTTATCTAATTGAATTATATCTCTATATATTTAAAAAAATCTAACTAACATGACTACAAGCTTGACTATTATAGATGATTATCTATTAACCTATATTTCTTAATTGTACATTACATTTTTAAATGAACTACACAATCACAACATCTTAATCAAGATTGATCTTAAATTTATATCAATAAACCAAGATCTATACCAATGCAAATTATTCATATCTATATCATATCCCCCTTTAAATGTAAATAAACATTTATAGACAATATTTGAGAATATGGGCACAATTTTCTCCATACTGCTTCCTGCTGATTGTTGGGCATAGTAATTTTTAGGGGTGTTCACATTGGCCTTCAGTGAGGGGGGGGGTCTTGTTCCATCAAACCACATCAGTCTGGAAGCAATTCACAGGTTCTCATCCTCTGTGAAAACAAGAGAAGAACCTCTTTTCCAAAGTAACATATCCTTAGACCCAAATTTGGAAGTCATGATATGTTTATGTTAGCTTACCTTAGCAGCCCCAAGAATCAAATGTCTCTCTACAGTAAAAATATAAAGATAACACAATAATATACATAATCCAGACTCTCTGTGAATTTCCCATTTTTACCTGGCTTATTTTTCTTTATTCCTCTTAATCTATGACTATCTATACTCTGTCTCTTTAAAGACTTTACCCTTTTTTTTAAAGGACTAACTTTATCTTATGACTCTCTATACTCTTTTTCTTCTCTCCTTCAAGTTTACGTACCAACGTATCCAACACCATGACTCATCTGGATTTGTCTCAATTAGACAATACCATCCCAGACAGTGAGGTTCTAGTTAGCTAATGGTTAATTGGGTCAATGTGTGTTTTGATGGAGTTCTTTCAATTAATCCTTATAATAATTTTATAGTTGATACTACTAAGTGTACTTTATAGATGAAGGAACCAGCAGTTTTGGAGTTTAGCTATTGTCTACAGTATGTATGAGTCTTGGCCATAGGGCTTTTACTGCGAAATAAGGCACTGGACTAAAATCGGAGAGCTAAGTTGAGAAGGCAATGTAATAGAATTCTGGCAGTTAATTGACATTGAGGATTGGAGCTGAGGAGGAGGCTAAGTGATAGCAGGGTACAATGCCAGGAGAAGTGTGTTTGAAAGAATGACATATTTAGATGGAATGAAATAGACTGTGGAGGAACGAGACAAGGTAAGTTTACCAAGTGAGACAGTGTCACCCCATCCTTTGGTGTTCATCAATTCCCCGCCAGTGTACTTGTGAGCAACCTTTCATTGCCAGGTACTTGAAATGGGCAGCCTTCTCCTCCTTTCATTCTAAATGCCTCTCAGCTTTGTGAAGTTTCGGTAAAAGTATATGTTGCGGTGACTGGGCTGAATTACGGGCAGAGCCCCTGAACAGCCCTGATGCCATGGCTTTGTTATGAAGGTCTGTAAGATATTATCCAGTGTCATGGATTATACAAATGTGCACAAATGGCAGTTTCCTCCTTTTGCTTCGCACAATGTTAAAAATGAGTAAAATATGTTTCCCATTGCTCTGCCCCCATGTTTGGGGGATTGATGAACTCATTTTAAGTTTCCACATCTTTATAAAAATGTTTTGTTTTTTACTGAAACGTGGTTTTGATCAGGAACATAATTTCACGATTACGTGTGTGTTTCTGAAATAAGTATGTATATGGAACAAGTGCATGGAGGCAATCTCTCTGGGACAAACCCCAGGGTCTGGATTCTTCGGACCTCACCTCAGCCTAGCTAAAACTCAGTCGATAATCCTGAGAGAGCTGGTTTCTGCCTTCGCTAACCCGCTTCCTGCTCTTACTATTGCTAATTTCTCAATTAGTACAATGACTTAACAGCTGCAGTCATTTTACTTGATCTCTATACGTTTAGATTTCGAATTTATGGAATACCAAACTTCAGACAAGCTGAACAGCAACGCTGTGTTTTTACATTTTTTAAAGGTGTGGCTCATTCGTTCAGACACAGTATCCTAATGCTAAGCTCTTAACCAATCTTGTTTTGTAAAGCAGGTAGAAGGAGTCATAATTCCTATAACAATGTCAGTCTAGGCTTGGATCAGAACAGCAATTTATATTTATATTTAAGAAACACTAGAACTTTCGTGAACATTATACCTATCATATTGATTCTGAAGACAGAGGAGATAGACATTGTAGCCAAAGACTGGCTTGGTGGCTTCCAACAAAATAGATGTGGCTCCTCACACAAAAATTCTGATGGGAAAGTAGTAGTGGTAAGCTAGGCAAGGAATTTAATCAGTCTGGCAATAACAGAAAGACAGCAGAGATGAGTTCAACATCTCAACTCATCTTCAGAGAATTGGTGGGAGCACCAGGATTATATAGAGGAATAAATGGGGCAGGATGCAAAGGGTAGGTCTAAGGAAGCAATCCTGGACCAATTGTGGTCTGACTGTTCTTTGTCTCTGTTCTGTCTCTTCAAGTGACTCTGGATGAGTCCTTATCACTTGAAGAGACAACATGGTCCCCAAGATGATTTTTTTCTATAGGGGTATAGGAACAGCTCCAGCTTCCATGGTGATGCAATCATGCCCTTTTAGTAATAACTCCATAATAAAGTCAACTTGCCTGTAAAGCTTCACAGTTCCTGGAATTCAAAGTGGCTGCTTTCTGGAGATCTGGAAGCCCCTTTTGAAGGAGGGGTTCAGAATGGGGCACTCCCAGAGTCACCTGTGAAATACCTTAGTTGTTCTTATTGCTATGCTTCCATACTTGAGGGAGACCAGGCAAGGTACATTTGGGGCTTCATCTTTTTGCACCACCAGATTTTAGGCAGATAATCCTTCAGCCAGTCACAAATCTGGTCCAATTGAGCAGGAATCTACTCCAGAATAGAGAGACATGAAATGAATGCAAAGATGCCAGGCTTTCACGCTGTTTTTAGCAGTCTTGTGACCCAATGGGAGTCCACGTTCTTTATCCAAAGCAGTTTGGATAATGCAAAGTATTACAAAGTGTCTTTTGTAATAGGCTTTCCATTTTATGAATGAGAACATTATTTTGTCCAGAGTTATAAAGCTAATAAATCCAGGTCAAATTCTAGACCCTCTGCTTACACCAGAAGGATGCAGTGAGGAGATACAGGGTTTGTAGACACCTGTCTGGTATTCTCCAGAGCTCACACATCACCTGCTACCATACACAAACTAAGTGCCCTAGTGTGCTATAATTTCTGCACATTTATGGAGCTCCAGCTAAGGGCAAACTAGCAAAGCTGACTGAACTTGGCCGTGGTCTTCTTCTAAAACCCACTCCTGTCAGGTGAGTGTTTTCCCTAACAGAAACCCTCAATAACGAGAGGCTGAACAATTTTTGTTCTGTGTTGTTTTCCTTCTTAAAAAGTTCTTTCTTTTGAGACTATAATATAAGTACATCATTTATCCCTTCCCTGTCCTCCCTCCTGACACTCCCATATGCCCCTCCTTGCTCTTTTCCATGAGAGCAAAATTCACTATGAAATTAACTATCTTAAAGTGAGCGGATGATAAAGTGGCGGTGATGCTGTCAGGCGCCACACTATTGCAAAGTCCAACTTGTTCTGAAATGCTTCCGTCAACTGGAAGTAAAACCTCAGAACTGTTACGGAGTTTCTTCTCATTCCCAGCTACCTCTAACCCCCAACGAACCCCTCTGCTCCTATCTTTGGATTTAACTAGTTTAGATCGCTTAATGGAAATAAAATTAAACAGAAAGTGAACTTTCATATGTGGCTTCTTTGTTCTTGCCTAAGTTCTCAAGTGTCATCCATGTTCTAACACAGTAACAGCATTCTGTCTTATATAGACACTGTAAGTTGTTTGTCTGTCCATCGGCTGAAGACTATTCGGGCCGTTACCATCTTTGGCTACTCTGAATGTACTTAATTCAGTGTCTATCTTCAGTGTCTGAGGAATTTGCTTTATCATATGTTAATTTCCTGGTTAGGTTTTTGAGGAAATGCCAAAGTGTTTTCCATAGCAGCTGAATTAATGTATACCTACCCTAATAATGAGGAGTTCCAGGTTCTTCCAGTTCTGGTATCTGAGGCTTTCAGTTGTTGCCTGTGATAGCCACACTGTTTCAGCAGGTGCCATATCATTGAGGCTTTGGTTTTATTTCCCTGGTGACTGATGATTTTCAACATGTTTTCATGTCTTACCAGGAACTTGTCTGTCTTCCTTGCAGATGTATCTACTCACATCCTTTGTATTTGTTGAATTAAAGCTGTCCCTTGCCTGTTGCTTTCTGGCTACTAAAGTTTTAGATACACGGATAGGTGATATTTTATCGAATTCTGTAGGTCATCTTTTTGTTTTCTCAGTACATTTTAACTCTGATAAAGTCAATTTTATTTAGAACTTTTATTTATTGACATGTTTTTTTTTCTTTTTACTGAATTCATGTGGTGGCATATTCATGAAACCATTACCAACTCTAAAATCATGAGGATTTATCCCCATGTTTACTTCTTATAAGTATTTTAGAGCTTTAGCTGTTGTATTTAGTGCACTGATTTATTTTGAGTTGAATTTTGAATAGTGTAGACAACAGTAGTAGTTCCTATTTACTTCAGTTTCTCTCTTTGTTTTTCTTCCCTAGGAACTCTTGAAAGAAAGGGGCTGCACACCTTTAATCTGACTTCTCTGACCAAGTCTGAAAATGTTTTGTCAGCCAAACTGTATTTCTGTATTGGAGAATTAGTGAACATCAGCTCGAGCTGTCCGCTATCCCAAGGATGTTCCCATCATGCGCAGAGACAACACATGCAGATAGATCTCTCTGCGTGGATCCTCAAACCCAACCAAAGCCAGCTCTTGGGTCACCTGTCAGTAGATGTGCCCAGACCTTATCGAGACAGCATGACTTGGCTGTCGAAAGACATCACCCACCTCCTAAGAAAGGCTAAGCAGAACGAGGAGTTCCTCATAGGGTTTAACATTACTTCCAGAGCTCATGAGCAGCCCAAACACATGCTACTTTCCCCGGAGCCGTACATCTTGGTGTATGCCAACGATGCCGCCATTTCTGAGCCAGAAAGTGTGGTATCTAGCTTACAGAGACACAGAGATTTCCCCGAAGGAACTGTGCCCAAACTGGACAGCCACATCAGAGCTGCCCTCTCCGTTGAAAGGAGGAAGAAGCGTTCTACTGGAATCCTGTTGCCTCTCCAGAACAATGAGCTACCTGGGGCAGAGTATCAGTACAAGGAAGATGGCGTGTGGGAGCAGAGAAAGCCTTACAAGACCCTTCAGACTCAGCCCCCTGAAAAGAGTAAGAACAAAAAGAAACAGAGAAAAGGACCTCATCAGAAAGGCCAGACACTGCAGTTTGATGAACAGACCCTGAAGAAGGCAAGACGAAAGCAATGGATCGAACCTCGAAATTGTGCCAGGAGGTACCTCAAAGTGGACTTTGCTGATATTGGCTGGAGTGAATGGATTATCTCCCCCAAGTCATTTGATGCTTATTATTGCTCTGGAGCCTGCCAGTTCCCTATGCCAAAGGTAGCCACTGTCATTTACTTTGTGCTCGCTTTGTTTTTGCATGGGGTAGAGGAGCACGCTGAGTGTGTGTTTTCATTTAAGAAACTCTATTTGGAACCTTATTTATAACATTCTAAAGTATAGCATAATGGGCAATGTGGTTATGCTTGGTTTTTCTTTGATGATTGTTAAAAGTAATATGAGGTATGAAGGCTATGAAAACCATATGTGGAAAATATGCATTTTTGTTTCTAAACATGGTGCGTATCCAGCCATGTGGTCACTAGTGAATATACACCTGTCCTCAGTGAGCAAGCCCCAGATGGCAAAAGCTGATCTCTGAGTGGTATTTAAGGGATGTATGAAATCGTAGAAGCAACAAGAAGGAATAAAGGGTCTACTACCCTGCTGTGGGTCATTTTTGGATAAACATCTTCTCATGAGGTGAAATGTTCCTATGCAGGTCAAGATTTGGGTTTGGCTAGATCAACTGGCCTAAAACCTAACAGATGCATGTTTCATTTGCTAAACTGCGAGAGAGAGAGAGAGAGAGAGAGAGAGAGAGAGAGAGAGAGAGAGAGAAGAAAAGCAGAACGTGATGACAGTGACCTCCCCCAAGGCCCATCTTACCCTGCCAGAAATTACCTTCATTTATTCCAAAAGCATTAGAGACTGCATTTAATCATATAAGCTTGTTTTTGTAAGTCTTTCCGATTCCAATGTCCGTCTTTCCACGCAAGTCCAAATGGCAGGTCTCTCTGCACTGGAGTATAAATAGTACACTCTATAGTAAAATTAGCCACACCCTCGGGATCAGGTTTGGCTTATTACTCCACAGTCTCAGCTTACAACAGCTTAAATCTCTACCACTTAAAGGTGACTAAAAGGCAGAGTTCAGAAGAGGAACCACAGTGGGCTTTTAGTAAAACCTGAGACCATTCTTGCTATTCTCTAAAAATAGAGAAAAATGTTCCTTTTCTTCTTAGTCTGCAATTTTAGTTTATGGGTCTTTATATCGCTACTTTATGTTTTAATCCTGTGGTCACTGATTGACATACACAGAGAAAGGGCTGAAGACACAAAACCGGGTCAGGCTCAGGACCAGTGACCTATCCAAAATCCTGTTTTCCTTGTTAGTTATTTCAGAAAGATCAGTTTTGTACATTTCCTACGAAGTTGTCATTCCAGAGGAGTTTTGTAACTTTCTATTTTTAGAATACAACCTGAAGTCAGGGTTATGAATTCAGGGCTGTATCAAGAGCCTTATCTTACTTACCTCAAGATTCTTAAGAACCTTCAGTGCTCAGGCAAAATGTTCTCAGCTGGGGGGACATTCGGAATCCTGGGTACGGCAAAGATGGTGGAAGTTAAAAGCAGAGGTGTGTCCTATTTCAGGGTGTGGCTTGCGTTGTGACCTTGAGATATGGGAATGTAATCCAAAACTGACTTTAGGTAGGCCTTTAAGGTTTGTCCAAACAACCTCTTTTATTCCCAGTTGTTGTAGTTTCTTCTGGGTAACTTGGAGAAAATTTCCTTCTCTTCCTCCATCATGCCAATGAATGTTCAGGCTCCAGACAACATCTGAACACGGATGCCCAGTCCCTTTGCTTTTCATCCCCACACTCTGGAGAGCTCAGTTTCCACCTTTCTACAGTTCCTCCCCACTTGTGACTCTAACTTCATTCTGTTTCCTTCCACTGTCTGGAAACCCAGTCTTTTCAGAAGGGCTTTTGGAGGAAACTGAAGAGAATCATCGTTTGAAAGCTGCCATGGGCTATGTTAATAACTACAGAGATAAATTTAGGGAGAAGCATCTGTATACGTCAACCGTCATCCGCGGACGTACTTGTTCACTGATGCTGCTGCTGCGCAAACACTTTTTGGCAACAGCAGACTTGATAGTTTCTCCACCACTATGCAACAAGGGCCTTTTAGATAAGTCAGTAAAACTTTCTACATGTTGTTTTTTTTTTTGCTTTGAAACAGTGAAAGTAGAGGATAATAAAAATTACAGGACCTGCACAACAAACAGGGCGAGGAAATGAAATCACAGAGCAATGGACGTGGAGTAGTGGGTACTCCATAACCATTTGTCGTCCAGCTCGCCATTGAGGAGACTGAGTGGAACAGAAGAGGCGTCTAAAAAAACACTGTGTAGGGAGAGCAAGCACGCAAAGGAAAGCCACAAGGCAAGACAGGTTTTGTAAATGTATTCAGTCCTTTTTCAAACATCGCAAAACTGAAAATAGGATTCTCCCTCTGGGTTCAACAGCCCTGAGCTCTTCCAAGGAGGTTCTTTCAGGGGGAGAACGGGATGAGGAGAGGATCTGTGGCAGTAACTGGACTCATCATAATATTTGTTGAAACTTGGAAGGACATCAGAGCTCCAGGGACACATAGCAGGGATCCATGTAGAGGGCTTTTCTCCGAGGTTGCGATTCTCTTTCGCCAAGTCAAGAGCAGACGTTTAGCCTTGTGCAGAACTGCTTGACTTCCAGCATGTGCCAGGTCTTCCCTTTAAGCTCTAGTGACTTTGTATCTTCCAGTCAGCGCTTTAACAAAGGAGGATGGGAAGTATGAGGTACAAGGAAGAGGTAGTTAATAGGCACTGCTGTTAGCACAGTGTCTGATGTGGCATCCAGAATGAGATATTTAAATAAAAATAAAGTTTGACCAGCGGAGGAAAATGAAGGTCTCTCCTCAGATCAGCATAGCACATGTGGGCTGACTGAAGTGCCAAAGAACTTTCAGACTTCAGATATATATTTTGCCTCTGAGGAAAGTTCTCCCAGGCCAGACTCCTCTGTCGGGCCTCCTGTTTTTGGCCTCCTGGGTGAAAGCCCGGCCTATATGGCGGGGCCCTTCGTCTGCAAAAGTTGACAACCTGCTCTGTAATTCGGAACAGCTGTGTTCTGCCTTTCCCAAATTCCAGGCTTTGCCCTTTCACTGATTCCAATTAGATAGTTTCTGGGCCATCACACCCATGTGGGCTGGACTGGAAGAGCGTGGAGCAAAACCTCATGGCCCAGGTCAGGAATGAAGGTTCTTAGCGGCTGACATACTCTCCCCTTCCAGTGCATCTGTAATCAAATGTAACCAGAGGACGTCATCCACGGCTTGGTGGGGCAAGCCTGGCCACTAGAGGTGTCATTCACAGACACAACAATTTGGGTTAGTTTTTTTTTTTCTTTTTTCTTTTTCTGATTTCTGGCTCTTGCAGCCAGCCTCTTCTCCCAGAGAGAGACTCTTGGAAGGAAGCCATCTGATGAAAACTACCCAGATAGCCAGAGCCAAGTGCTGTGCCTCTGCCTCCCTCACCACCTCGGCAGCAATGGAAAACAGAAATTTCAAATGAAAATGATTGAGCCATTGTTCCTGACAGAGATCCAAGAAACCAACAAGGATTAGAGGAATGAAGTTATTTCTGCAAGGAATTGTGAAAAGGCTAGGAAGAGCAAAGATACAGAGTTAGGCAACAAATAATTGAAATACTTTGAACTGAGTATTCCATATAAAGAGATTCGCGTTTAATTGATTCAAAATGATAGACTATTAAAGATGCCTCTAGATCTTCCCGTTCTAATCTCAGCCATGAAGACGAGCACTATAAACTCGAAATCTCAACAAAACTCAGCAAAATGGCACCTGAATTGATGTGGAAGGTGGACGCTGTCGTAGGAGAGTGATGGGCACGGGGCAGGGCACAGATTCGCACTCGTGATTGGCGCCAGCCCCAAGCTCAGAAGAGAGGACATGAGAAACATGATCCTAGCTTGAAAACAAGACTTCTTACTGGCACAAGCTTCACACCAGCAAATGACAGCATGGATTATTTGTGCATGATGTGACCATTCCTGGTAACGGTAGCCCCAGCAGAGGATTCCATAGCTAGGCAAAGGGGATACTCCCTAGTCATCTGAGAAGCCCCTGATACAAACACCACCCCAGAATCAAGGGCTTGGGCCTGATTCTGGTAGGCCCACTGGAGACTACTCGTGTACTCAGTTTCTGAACACATCAGTTCTGACTTGGATTTAAAAAAAAAAAAAAAAAGACAGGAATTTTCCTTAGGAAACACCCACGAATATTTTCCATATCTACAGCAAGTCACTTGCACAGAATCTTTTATTTTTGTTGATAGGAGTCATTTCTCATAAGTGGGTAAAACGGAGGGTGTATGATTTCCTCTGAGTATTTCAGCCATTTAACAACATTGCTCCGACGTCTAGATGTACACTCTAGGAGCTGGGGGAGTCAGGGCATAGCTGGACTAACTGTTCAAGTACTCACCTAATTAAGGCTCTCCACACCACATGACATCTAGGCATCAAACATTAAACATAGAGAATAATATCAGAAAACCTGATTTTTCCTGCCTCCCAGGCTTTACAGCAAGCTGTTTGAAAGGCTGAGTCTTCCACATAGCTTTCAGTCAATGATAGAAAAAGTGGATTGTGGCAAGGGTTCCTTGTGAAGACCATTAATGGCAAGATTGCAGCCTGCAGTGGCTGTTCACTACCGTGTTACAACATTAATGGTAGCTCATGTAAACCTCACAGACTTGGGGAGGTCTTTTGCTTCTCTTTGTAAGTATTAGTTGTATAGACCTCTGGGAATCATTATGGCCTTCTGTATATACTTGCATGCCCCTTTGAGCCCTATATTTTTTCTAATAATTTTCATTCAGTAAACACATTTTAATAGAGAGCAAACACTATGTAAAGTACCAATACTGGGACTTCTTAAAACTTAAAGTGAGACTACCCTGTTCTGTAATCAATTAGAGCTGATCACACTCAATTACCACTTAACTAATTAAAACTATTTTAAATATGCACTTGCAGTCAGTAGGAAGCAAGAGTAAAACAGTGCTGTATTTATTAACAGTAGATACTTTACATTTTTTTCACAAAAATTAAAGTGTGGAGTATGGATTCTTCTTGTTGAAATGAAGAGATGGAATGATTTGGATAGCATTTCCCTTTCTCTGCCCGCACACCTTTGTTTAACTTGTTTTAATTTCTCTGATCGTATGTCAACTTTCTGCAATACCTCTCCATTGGCCTGGGTGCATCCTTGACCTTCTAACTTGTCCCGATTGTCCACTCTGGTGTTCTTTATTGATTGAGAATTAGGGTCCCAATTCACGGATCTTTTTAAAAGTCTCTGAGGCAGAAAGAAGTGAGAGTTTTAGTTGAAATAATATTGTCCATCTTTGGGGAATTATCCTCCTTTGTTTGGCTGTTGTTTCTTTGTTCATTGTTACTTTTGCTTTCCGCGTGGTTTCTGCTTTGTTTTGCTATAGAGTCTCCTGTAACCCTGAGGTGAGCTTCAACGACCTGTGTTGTTGAGGCTGGCCTCGAACTCCTTCCCTTTCTGCCTTCAATAGTCAGGACTACAAGTAGGCACCGCCATGCTCAGCTCTGTCAGTCTGCTTGCTTGTTGTGTTTGCGTTTTTGAGGGGCAACTGGGGACTCACACCTTACACATAGTAGGCAAATGTTCTGTTGAACCACAACTTGAGTTCTCAAATTTCTGTTTATAAATCTGTTTTTTTTTTTTAAAAAAAAAAAGTAATTTCATCTACCTAAGGAAAAAAGAATACTAGGAGAGATGAAGTGTTGCCAGGCATTGTGGAGTCCTAAGCACTCAGGGCTTCAGACTGTGGCTCTTCGCAGCTCTTCTAGGTAGAGCTGAGCTGTATGTAGCAGCTTCCTACGTGAAATGCTTTTCGTTTTCTCAGTGAAGAGATTTAACCAAGGTTTCCCTGATTGAACTCCTAACACCCGTGTGAAAACTTTAGACCCCATAGTTTATTCCCAGAGGACGTGGCCCACCTTAGACCACCAAGCCACCCTGTTTAAGTTGCCCATGGAGCAACAGTGACCCCCAGTGGTCAATGGTATGATCTTGTCCACTCTAATCTGTAGCCTGAACTGAATAATTGTGTTATACGAATGGAATAGTAAGTAACCAACCAAAGACTAACCCTTTGGGCAACTACTAAACAAATAAATAAGTAGCCTTCTATCCCACTCTGTTTTGTTTTAATAACGGTGAATAAATTTCACTCTAGAGTTGGTGATGATTGTCTCTGTTGGTGTGTTTTATTAGAGTTCTTCAAAGGTTCATAGGGGGTCAGGGACAATTCTTTTGTCATTGTAATTAAAAACACGGAGGATACATTAATTGGATGGTTCAGGGCTGCATTGTTTCTAATTAAATGATTCCTGCTAACAGAACCAAGTTCGGAGTTTCAGTCTACTGTTTACCAGCTGTTTGACTTCAGACACGTCATTTAACTTTCTGAGTCTCTGCAAAAATGTAACCAATTTGTTGTGAAGATTAAAGGCACCACCTACACAACTCCTGGAGCATCGCAGGCACTGTTTAGATGCTACATCCTTGGAGGGAGAGGAGTTTGGGCTGAGGATTCAATGATGTAGGCCTTTTTAGAACTGTTCAAACAAGTCCTTTTTCTTTTTTTTTTTTTTTTTAATGTAATAAGGTCTGGGGGAAAACAGTTTCACCTGACATGTTGCTCTTATTTCTCTTTCCAGTCTTTGAAGCCATCAAATCATGCGACCATTCAGAGTATAGTGAGAGCAGTGGGGGTCGTATCTGGAATTCCCGAGCCTTGCTGTGTGCCAGAAAAGATGTCCTCACTCAGCATCTTGTTCTTTGATGAAAACAAGAATGTAGTGCTGAAGGTCTACCCTAACATGACAGTGGACTCCTGTGCCTGCAGATAACCCGGCAAGAAGGAAGTCAAAGGCTCCATACAGTCACTGGTTGGGTTTTATGGACATTTCTTTCTTCTTTCCTTTCTTTTTCACTCTATTTGTTTTTGCACTGCCAATGCGTTTTGTCCCAAAAGATGTTTTATTGCAGAAAGAGAATGATCAAATAGATCGAAAATTTCCACCAAGCAAAACTAAACTTTATTTTCTTCTGAATGTAACTAAAAGTAAGATTTTGGTAAATGCGAACATCCATTTCTTTTTTTAATCACATAAGAAAAGCTATTACTCAAACTGACTTTAGGAGTGTTACAGACCCTGTTGACTTATTTTTGTATTGGGATTTAAAACTAGGTGGGAAATAACAGCAATACCTTACCGTCTGTCTCTACTCATCTAACGACTAAAGAGACGTAGATAGGAATCTTGAGGTTTTTATTAGTTTTCTTGCCTTAGATTCATGAACGACCCAGTCTACCATACACCCAGCTGGCTTTGATGTTCATGTAAAGAATTTCTGAGATTTGTTTACCTTTGCTTTCTCTCCACAATCATGGTGTATGTTGAGTTAGCATATGCTGAGGGCTAGTGTGTGTATACACGTGCCAGGTGCCTGCACTTTTGTTAAAAACCTTTTTTCCTTTTGTGGTTCTGAAGCTCCATCTTCATGGGATTCCTTTTCTTTTTCAAGATCATATTCTGATGAGCACCATCCACTCGTGATTGCCATGATTCAAGAGCATATGCCAAGAGCAATGCTTGATCCAGCCATCTGAGGGGATGTTTTCATTTCACTGCGTTCCAGAAAAAGAGAATCAGGAATTCCATTTTTGAAAACCCAGATGTAGCTCTCCTGTACCTCCTAAAAAAAAAAAAAAAGAAAGAAAGAAAGAAAACATTTTCATATGCTCTAAGCTAACTTCGGAAGTACTTCCTGAAGTTATCGGTTCTCTAGTTCTCTTGCTATTATCCTCTTTCTTCGTGTGCTGCTGTCCACAGACGTTGAGGCTTAAACCCCGTTAGAAATGACCGCGTGAATGACTATCATGTTCCCCACCTATTTCTAGGCTCTCCACCACAGAGATCAAGGTATCAGCCTTCATCATGGAACTTACAGTCACTTATATCAAAGTTTGCTAAAAGCTATCCACTAAGAAAGAGAGCCAGTCCAGACCACAGTGTGTTTCCACCTCCAAAAGTCAAAAGTGCCTCCTGTTCGAATTTTTGTCCTTGAAAATCGCTTTATAGTCTTTCCCTCAGAAAATGGAAATGTATCTCGGTGGGTAAAAGTGCTTACTCCCCAAGTCATTCCTGGGACCAACATGGTGGAAGGAGAGGAAGGACTCCCACAAGCTATCTTCTAACCTGTGCTCATGCGTGCACACACACACACACACACAATGTTAACATTTAAAAGATCTTGTAGCCGAGCAGTGGTGGCGCACGCCTTTAATCCCAGCACT